TCAAGCTCTCAAAAAGCTAAGAAATATATAAATATATAAAACAGACTGAACGACATTTACAATTTCTTGGTATTTATTACAATTTATTACAATTTTATATTTCAGACAATTTGCTAAAAAATCTGCCTATACACTCAACGTGTGTGTTAAGTATAATATTTTCTTGCATTTTAACCATAACTCAATATTGAATCTGATTAGAATTTCACATCTTCTATGAAGGGACAAAACGAGATCAGATACATCTGTCAATATTTTTAGAACGCGTACCCTGAACCAAACATTGGACAAAAATAGTCGAGATCAAAAATCACAATGCGAGGAAGTACATGTGTACTATGTTGTTTGTTTTTAGTTCACTTTTCTTCCTTCGACGGAACTATCCAGCGCAAACGATATTCCAAAAGATAAATCAAAAGGAACAGAAAGATACATACCGGATAACAAATTCGTTTAATATTTGTATTAAGGCAAGTATGGTGTACTCCCACCAAAAGGTACGGAAGATGGTTCTCAACAGACTGGGCTCTCCTCTGTGCTTCTTGGAATTTTCCAACTCGATCCTCCATCGTCTAAAAATAGTGCATATGGCAAGTTAAGTACTGATTACTCTTTTGTTCTTTTCCTTTTATTAAATTAACTCGACGAATTATACAAACTTTTCCAATCGATCCCCAAGCACACTCGAACGATCGGTTTTCAAAGGAGTGTACAAATCTTCCGTTTGCAAGATCTTCCTATAGCCTGTCTTGAATAAGTCCAGCGTCCACCTGTGTGCAATGTCGGAGATTCTATAGTCAACATCTGTGCAATCACATTACACGGATGCATAATACGTTCTACGCTATCGTTCGTTACGACACGAACAACGATAATACAGTTTCGGATACAGTTTACTCGATAACAATTAACACGCCGTGCAACCAATTCATTTCATGATTATCATCAGACAACTGCGTGAGAAGTATAAAACATTTTGAGATAAAAAATTTTTGAAACGGATCAGTGTAATAATAGTTGGAACCTGAAGTGTGTAATTAATCTCAGATTTCTTCACACTCTCGAAAATTTTTCTTTTCTTTTTTCTTTTTTTTTTATTTTTAGGGAAACGTGAAAGAATCGTCGACGATATAATTCGTCTCTTTTCGTATTCTTACGACAGCGATCGTTCGAAAAAATCGAACATTTTCCTGACAGAAATTCAAGGTCAACACTGCGGCAGAATTAGATCCGTGACTTGCAAAACAATAAAAATGATTAAAAAAGTAATTCCGCAAATGTAGAGTCATGATGCATGAGTGATGACAAATAATGTTCATACTATCTTGCAAAAGCTTCGCTCCAATTTACATACGTAATTATTCGAATTATGACTTGCATGAATATTAGAATTGTACAGGATTCATCAACTTGAAGGTTTTAATCTTAGATATTCGAGAGTGGAGATCACTTATCTTCACACGTCTACCTTGCGTAGATAACATAATTCCGAATATTACATAAAATTCAAATTCGAAGTTGAGTCTTAATTTTTTTTTTTTTTTCATTACAAATACAACTTCTAAAATTCGTTAAATCAACATAACTTGACGAAATTTAGATTATAGGTGAGGAATCCTTTGTCTTCGAAAAACTTGTCACGGAATCTAGAACGAACCCAATTCGATATTTTCGCCAGATGAGATTAGAAGAAACTAGCGTTATTTTCGCATAATTTAGTTCAACTGCGTATTCTTCGTATTCGGCGAGTATAATCGTCATGGCGTCGTTTTAGCGGTACAATGTTTCAAAAATAGCGCCAAAAAGTAAAAGGTTAAATTTTATATTATTTACTTATATTAAATTCATATTTATAAATTATGGAATATTATTAATATACTTTAATTTAACTTAATATAATCATTAGATTATAAACTACATTTACAAATTGTAAACCACAGCTAATAAAGTTGATTTTACATTTATAAATTGCGAATCAAAAAGGTAAT